CAAGCGATTATTCTATTTTCTCTTTTCTTACAAACCGTCGGTATAATAAAAAAATGTCAGATCTATTTTAAATATTTATAAGATGAGTTTGCAAAGATTTAGTATTTCATACCATATAAGGCATTTTTGGAGTAACTAAAAATATATAAGTTTTATATAAAATTAAAATATAATAATGAAGAATACCAATTTCGCATAACCATAAGGCTTTACAGCATCTAATAGCATTACTAATTAATTGTATAATGCGACTACCTCCATTGCCATCCATAATTAGAATGATAGCATAAAACAAAAGTAGATTTTCCTCAATACGCTTTCTCATTTCAGATGCCTTAAAATCAGTGATATGGAACAGAAATGGAACTAGAACGTGTATTCAGGAACCTTCAGAAGGGTCCAGGAACGTTTCTAAATTATAAATAAATTTATTATTTATTTTTATATTTAAAATTAATAATTTTTTTATTAATCTAACAGTACATATATTCATTTCTTTTTATTTTCTAAATCCTTACAATTGAGGCACCTTGAAATTTTTCTTCGATGAAGATTAGAAAACTGTAGAAAAATGATGGCCTTATTAGGGCCGTTAAAGAATCAAGCTTAATGTTCCAAAAAGAGAGAATTTTTCCTGGTGATTTTATAGGACAATGGACCAAATGTAAGCTTCAAAAAATTAATTTCCTGTTATCACAAGACTTAATTTTATCTCTCAACAAAAGGGGGAAAAACGCTAATGATTTTTACTGTTCTGCCTTATTTAGAACCTAGGTTTAAATTTCTTTTGTACGAAGAGGTAAATAATATAGTTATAAATCATGGCTACATGGGAACATATTAAAAATTTTAGGGATGAAGATTTAAATATAATAAGTAATTCTGATAAATCTTCTGAAGAAGGACAAGAATATAATGAATTAGAAATGTTTCTAAGGCAAAGGATTAAAAAAAAACATTGCAAACTTACAAAAATGATGATATTCTATCAACTATAAAAAAAAATCGATAGTGTCTAAATATATCATAAAATATGCTAAAATACTGGGAATTCAATATAATAAAAAATTATATGTATGAATTGGCCTAAATAGTATTATCCATGTAGTTATATTGTGTTAAACGTTGTTTTTCAACATTCAAATTTATGCTAACAACACCATAAAAAACCAAAATGATAATCTTTTAGAAAATATTTTATTTCTTCGATGTAATAATTAATACATTTATAAATTAAATAAAGATTAATTAAGATATGTGGATTTAAAAAAATATTTTTAGATATATTTCTAAGAATGTTACGGAACGTTCCAATAAGTGGAACGAAACAATTATTTTGACCGGAACTGAAACGAGAAGGGAGCGCAAAAATGCCACTTGTTCTTGGTCCTTGTTTAAAATAAATATCTTCAAAACAAAAATATTTCATATTTATTAAATTATTAATATATAATTTTAAAATCATTTCTTTCACCATAAACCAAACATAACTGCATCATTTCAGCAACTTTATTTTCCCATTAATTCAAACAGATTTTAATTAATTTTTCTAACGATATAAATATTAATCCTTACAAATATTAGTTTTTTCATTAAACATCAGTGGGTAGTTGTGGGAAAAGTTTGCCATCAAGGCAAGGGCTCGAGCTCCTCCTCAAAATTTTGATTTTTTTAAATACAAAATGTAATTATGAAAATGTTAACTAAAAAAAAATGAAGGTAATTTTAAATCATGTTAGCTAAAAAAAAGGTAATTTTGAAAATAATTTAAAAATAAATTTTGAGCTTCCTGGGATTGTAACGGCTAGTGATGCCCCTGGGATAAGGGGTAAGCATCCAAAGAGGGGTAGGGTAAAGTAAAAATAACACTATTTGTAGGTAAAAAAAATAAAAATAACTGGTATGAAGATTCTAATTTATTAATAGATATTGATTTTGATTGTCAATTGTATTTTAAGTCATTTATTTTCAGATAAAACTTAGGTATATTGAATTTATACAGAGTCATGACTAATTTTTAGATTGCGGTTAGAAGTAAAAGCTGATTATCAACAACTAATATTTGCTTGTTATATCTAGCCTTAATTATGATGAGGCATAGGCGTAGCCAAGTGTGGTGGGGGGGGATCACCATCTTCGGAAATTTACCTTTTTTCGTAATTATCATTTTAAGCTATTAACCCGCCCCTCTCCCTCTCCTTTACCCTATTAAAATTTGTTCTGTTTTACTCTAGCTTTGAATTTATATGATTAAAATATTAACGTAGTTTACTCCCGTTTTCCCTATTTATATCTTATGAAAGTTCCTCGATATCATTTTTATTTAGTGTCTATAAGTATGGTCCAACTATTTAGTTCCATATCCAAATGTACAGGATTTCTGTTGGGGGTAAGGGGAGGGGGGTAGCCTGCTGTCTCAAATAACTCACTCGCGAAGACGATGGTTCAACTGCCGGCCTCCTTTTTCCTGCCGAAGGTTTACTAATTTTATTTAGCTATTAATTTTTCAACAAGGTTTAAATGATCAAAAAACTATATAATTGAATTAAAAGACGAAGATTTGTCATTTTACAAATCTTTTCAAAACAAGTGATAAAAGGGTTCTAGTTAGACAAAGGCGTGAATTTTTGCTCTTTTATCAAATGGACCAATCAATTTTATATTCTTGGGTTATTTCTTCCCCTTTCTATACAAAGAAAAGCGAAATTTCTATTTGTTTCTATAATTTAAAAAATAAATTCAATGTTAAAATATTTGGAAAAAAAAACAATAATAAAATATTATATATTATAGGAATTGGATTACAATAATTTAAATTTTAAATGATATAATAAAAAATAGAATAATATATCGGAATGAAGGTTGAAGTTATTGTAAATAATATAAAAAATTTTAATTATTCAATTATATTGTAAAAATATTCCTATTTTTTTAAAAATAAAATAAAATAATTATTGATTATAAATAGGGGGATTAAAATTTTTCTCTCCCACACATAATATTTTTTTAAAAAAAATCTATGATATGGTGCTCTCAGTAAATTCTTTTATTTTCCTTAAGCTTCTTCGGAATATTATCTTTTTAGTTGTATTTTGTATTTGGTTCGACATGGAATAATTGAAGATCTTATGCCAATTTATTTATTTTTATCAATTATTTTACCAATACCTTTATGACGCGGTATAGAACTTTTATACTATATTGATGCATGGCTGTACTTTAAATGTTTGTAAGGGGCACTGTGAGAGTGCATAATTATTTTTTTAAAAAATGACGTAATTTCAATCATATTCCCTCTTATCAAGTTTTGATGGGGCTAATAATAATAGGTTTTATCATTTTAAAAATGGGATTCATGAGTAAACTATGTAAGCAATTTATTTCTATGTTGCAATAAACAAGTAAAATAATTGAAGGGGAAAATTTATAGCAAGTATTAAAATTAAAATAATTTACAATGAATAATTATAAGAGCCTAATTTACAATCTGTATGGAAGATAGAGATTTTTTGGCGTCATGATCCCCCCCCCCCCCCCCCCCCGTAGTTACATATAATAAAGGTCATAGAAATAACTGGATAATATATTATACTATTTATGTAGGTGTAATATTATAATCCATTTTTATATCTTCAAATAATTGCCTTAAATAATACTTTTCAATAGATTCGATTAATCCTTTAATCGATCAAAAAAAAAAAGAAGAAAACATTTTATAAAAATTTAAGAATTAGAGTTCTTGCAAATTCATAATAGCCCAAACCAGGAATTTTGTTGTCCTTATCATAAATAAATTGTAAATTATCATTTTAATTTGAGGAAATAACCATTTTTTAAATATATTTGTCAAAGGGGACCGGCCCGAAACATTTAAAAAATCTATAGGCCTGGGCTTCGGGCCGGCTTGCAGGACCGTAATAGGAATTAGTGATCTGCATCGGGCCTAATTTTTCAAGCCCGGCCCGGCCCGAATTTATTATATATAGAAATTAATTTTTATAATTACTCAAAATAAACGATATATGTTATAGGTGTTACTTTCTATAAATAAAATCACATATTTATATTTTACATTAAAAATTCAACTTAAAATTGATAAATTTAGATATATTTTAAAAAATTTATAAGGCGCGACCCGACCCGAATTTTCCACGGGTCTTACCAACTTTTGCAGATCTTTAGTAGGAATAATGAATTGGGAAGAAAATTCAACGAATTAAAAATATTTTATTATAGATCGGATGAAATAGTGTAACTTTAAAATGATTTTTTTTTTTATAAATTAACATTTCAAAGTTTATTAGGTTAAAAAATTTAATTTAAAAAAAATATGTTGCTTTAACTGCAAGCTTGATAAACAAAAAAATTATTATTTTGTAAATTATAATAAATAAAAAACAATAAATTAAATTATAAGGAAAGATAAATATTTTCAATAAATTAATAAAATAAGTTATAAGGTAAAGTAAATATTATAAATAATTTAAGGGAAATTTAGTTTATTAAAAGAGGATTTATTGGTAAATAAAGATGAAATAATCGAAGTTGCCTTTTCTGGTTGTCATTCGAAGAAAAAAAATACTGTCCACTAAAATGATTCATTATTATAAATTACATTTGATTCCTCCCCCCCTCCCCATATAGATCTTTAATATTTAATCTTATCACAATTTTCGAGCAATTTTTTTCGCGATTTTTGACCATCTATTTTCCTATCGTAAAAATAATAAATAAAAAATTAACCTCTCAGCTTATAACTTTATATTAAACAACAATATTTTAAAAAAATCAAAGATTAACTTTAAAAAAAAAACTGAAGATTTGAAATTGAAATAATAAAAAAAAATATTTAATTAAATTTAAATAAAAATAAACATCTTGGAAAAAATTGATTATAAATATTATAATAATAAATAGAATGTTTAATTTTTGAAATTGATAAAAGTATATTAAAAATCAGTTCTGTTCAAACAAATAATGATCTATTTTAAATAAAAGAATCTTCTAAAATAAAAAAAATTGGTTTTTAAAAATTATCAAAAATAACACGCATACAAAAACTTTTCATTCATAATAGACTCAACAAAGATGCTCATATAATATTAAAAATATTAAATTTAAACTTATGTTATATCTAAGCTAAACTATTCGACACCCTTAAAATACATGAAATTATATTATTGAAAAAAAAAATCCAATTGGAATCTCAAAATGGCTGATAAAAATATGACGGATCCCAATACAAAAGCACAGAAATGGAAATATTACAAAAATGTGGTAGCGCTCAGCGCTTCATTTTTCTTGTTATTTTCGGCCTTTCAAGCTGTTTCCACTCTTCAAACAAGTATAAACGCTTTCAAAGGACTTGGTTCTACTTCATTATCTATCATATACGGATTCTTTATCATTTCATGCCTATTTTTACCCGAATTACTTATATCTTTCCTAACTATCAAATGGACACTCGTCTTGTGCGTCCTAATGTACACCAGTTTCATTATAGCTAACTTTAAACCAGCATGGTACACCCTTTTCCCAACTTCGGCCCTCTTGGGACTCGCTGCTGGTCCACTGTGGACTTCTCAATCGGTCTATATAACTGCTATGGGCAAGAAATTAGGCCAATGCCTCTCAAGGGACAAACAGAGTAGTAAGAAAAGATCGGATACCTCTCTTTTATCCCCAACTGAACCTTCAAAATCGATGAATTCTTCCATGAATAGTAGTTCTAATGAAATTGTAGATACTGTAGGAGTAGGAAAAGGAACAGGTGAAAATAACGGGAAAGCGGCAGCTATAGCACCTTTCTTATTCGGAATATTCTTCGCCTTCTTTCAGACGGGATCCTTATTGGGCCAATTAATTTCTTCGCTCACATTGAAGAGCGATTTCGTGTCGGCTGAAGATCATAACAATAGCAATTCCAACCATTCCTTCCATTGTGGTTCATCTTTTTGTTCTAATCAAGACTCAGGGGGTTCTATTTTTAAACCTTCTCAGCGTAAAATATATACTCTGTATGCCGTTTATACCGCCTTGTCCCTTTCAGCTGTTTTGGTAGTCTCAATTTTTTTGGATAATCTGCCGAGGCAATCCGTCAAAGCTGACAGCTATGATGAAGGTATTTTTGATAAATAATGAAAATATGATTTTCACCTATTTATTCAATATAAAATAAAATTTCAAAATTTAAATTGAGGAAATAATTTATCTCAAGGGTTTTTAATGCATCCATATCATTAGTGAGCAACAACCTCTTCTTTAGAAAATTACTTAACTGCATATAGGGTGTTGTGGCTTGATTTTTCCACGTTACGTTTAAAACGCATTTGTTATTTTTTGTACAAGATATTCGTAAATTACTAATTTATATGTAAAAAAATTATAATGTAACTTTAGAACAATATTATTAGGCTAGCAATACAAAAAAATCAAATACTATTTTTTAATCCCATTTCGCCTACATAGGTTGAAAATTAATAATTATATGAAATTGGATCAGCTGCTATAAATCAAATTTACGCATTATAAAATTAAATCGTTGTAAAATACATTAATTTTGTTCTTTTAATTTTGATATGAGGTTTTATAGTTCAAATAACATATTTAATCCCATTTATATATTAATAAAAATATCGTAGGGTTGGGGGTCCAATGCTAGGTTTTTAGCTCTCTTAAATAAGTCAATGCGTGAAAAACGCATCAATAATTGCTCCCTATCTTTTAACATTAAAATTTTGACCTAATTCAACTTGTGAAATAGGTATGGCACTCATTCCTATTTTTTTTATGCGAGAGATGGGGTGGGGATAATTTACAATGTTTCAACATCTAAGGTTTTTCTATCTATATTAATTAATTTACAAATATAAAATTTCGAATAATAACAATGACCAAAAGATGATTCAAATGGGAAAGGTGTTAAGAAAAGGGGTTCCATTTGGTCAATGTGTTTCGCCACTTTGAATCAGATGCGAGATCCGAGGCAAATATGCTTGATTCCCTTGTCTATTTACAGTGGGCTGCAGCAAGGCTTTATGTCGGCCGATTTCACAAAAGTAAAATTCATAATCACAATAAATATACATTACAGAAACAACTGCTTCTTAAATAAATTTTTTTTGTTAGAAAATATTGTACCCCGATGATGATGGGATAGTAAATCATTTTTTATTTTTTCAAAAATGCTTTTAAATTACATATATGTACAAAAATATGAGGAAAAAAGAAGGGACATAATACAAAATGGAGTAGAATTCAAACTATATTCCATCCTAACAGATACTTTTCAATTATAGTTGATCTGGTGTTTCGAAATCAGAAGCTATAGCTTTGTTAGTAAGATATATTTAATCGGCTGAAAGATTAATAGATCTATACTGTACGGGTAACACGACCGGGCTTGATATTGAATAAATGTAATATGCAAACTTAGTTCCATAAATATACCCCTCAATTTCTTAGTTGGGCAATATGATGGTGCTTCAAACATGAGTGAAAGGATCAACGGAATACTGGCTTTGATTAGAGCTGAGTCCTCAAAGGCAGCTTTTATTTATTGCTATTGTCATCGATTAAATCTAATCATTCAATTATGTCAAGAGCTAAGGAATATTTTACGTAGACAAGATTCAAGTGTGTTTCAATGGTATCAAAAGATGTACAGTGCTCATAATATACTGACAAATTGGCAACAATTTTTACGCATCAAGAATACCATTCGGTAATTTTATCTTATTTGTTTAGATTTAACATGATCATATATAGCTATTGTAAATTTTTTTCTCTATTTTATACTGCAATGATGGCAGCTTTGACAAATTTAAAGGGAAGATCCTGCCACTTCTATCATGGCTAATGCTATAGTTTTTAGAATAGAAAAATTTTGTTTTATTTTATCACTTTGCGCTTTGGGTAAAATATTGTTGGTAACATGCTTGGTTTGTGCAAAATTGCAAACACTTTGAAAATTATAATTTAAATTATTGTTGTTGTGGATCATTTTTTAATCTTATTAGATAATGACACGGAAAGGGGGGAAAAGAACCTCTTTATGAAAGTTTCTAGATTCATTAAAATTCAAAAAGGAAACAAGTATGCTTTATGCTACACTTGATTTGATAATAATGCAGTTTAAATGAAAGATTCAATGATGAATTAAGGAAATATTTAAAATCAAACAATTTTCATCAAAGGGAATGGCGGAAAAGAAATTTGTTAAAAATGATCTGTAAATTTTATTACATTCGTGTCAAGTTTTTGAATAAATGTTTAAGTTTTGAAATATTTATATGATGTCTAAAAAGGGGAATGTAATTATTATACATGACCTGGAGATTAAAGAATCGTAAGACTTGCCAATCTGAGAATTGTAATATTTTATTAAAATATTTATATAAATACATTGTTTAGCTTCTTCTTCTACTGATGATGATAATTCTGAAACTTATGACTCAGACTCGAAGAACTATTCGTTTATTTTACTTTATCGTTAATTTTTCTGCTTTCCTTTTTTGTCAATTTTGTATAAATATTTATTTTCCAACTACCTCATTTAGTTGCCGAAAGGGTCATGAGTAAAATTAAATTTATTAAGAGAAGTCTACGTAGGACCATGAAAGATCCTTTTCTAAATAATTTAATCTTATCGCTATCTCTACTTTCTTTTTATGTTAGGTGTTTTGTGGTGATACTAAATTTTGCTTAAATGTAATTTATAATTGAAGTTCGGATTAAAAAATATAAAGAGTGTGGAGGGGAAGGGTATTTTTTTAGGGGTAGTATTCTGCTTACAGATTTTTAGAATGTAATATGTAACTAATTACTTTTGAAAAAAATTGTATTTTTAAAGCTTGAATGATAATCAAGTTTTAAAAAATAAACAATTTATGCAATATGATAGATTTGCTGACCATGCCAAGAATGACAGATGGATATTGTCAATCAATTAATTTCAGGGTCACATTTAAATATATTTTAATAATATTTTAGTGAGTAATTGGCATACAATGGCTAAATTTACTTTTAAATTTATACCGAAATTAAATTTTTTAATATTAAATAATTAATATATCAATTCTAAGATATTTTAAATTAATAAATAATTTTTATATATAGATTAAATTTATCAGAAGAAATAATAATTGCAATTCGGTATGCCATTAGAGATTATCTTATAATAATTTATTAATCCTCACAAATTGGTTAAAAATACGAATTCATTAGTATTTAAGAGTCAAGCATAGCCCTGTTGGTATAAAAAATATCTTATGAAATATCCATCAAATCAAAATATTATGTATCAAGAAATTTATAGCACAAAAAGATGAGGTGCGACGTCGTCTTTAGGGGGAGAAAACTAATTAACAGGAGAGATCGAATTAATAAAACAAACATAATTAGCCTTAAGCATGGCCATTGCGATCCTTTACTAGCCTTTACAGGGCTGGCGGCAGACGTCTTTAAATTTTTTTTGAGCTAAATCTTCATATGTCTTTAAGTGAAGCAAATAATTGGCACGAATATGTAATTAGAATCAGCGCTGTGTTTAGCGATCTTAAAATTTTGCCCCTGTTCAGAGCGTCTTTGTTAAAATTGGAAGGGGAGTTCGTGTCCAGATAAGAAAAATAATGACCCTACAATTCTTGTTATTCCATCAGGACACATACCATCGGGAAGATAGGAAAACCATTTGATCTAAGTACAGAGATATAATTTGATTGCAGCTCGAGTGTCGAGTTTGCCGTCAGGGATTATGCTTACAATGTAAAGGATGCATCATCATTAGTATGAAATTAGCTGCATTTATATGGTAATGAGAAAGGAATGTTGAATGTGTTACATAGAATATGGCTGATCTCGTGGTTATCCAATTCAAGTTTGAGATTTTTAGACATAACTCTATTTCTACAATAGCATTATGAATGATTTCTGACAACTATTATATTATTTATAAATTTAGAAAGATGTTATTATAAGAAAGAAAGAAGGAAAGAAAGAAAGGAAAGGGAGGAAGGAAGAAAGGAAAGAAATAAAGAAAAAAGATCATTATGTTTATTTCCTTCATCTACCGAAGGCATACGTAGCCTGTTATTATGGCGTAGGTTACCTGGGTTTCGTGATGATGGTATATGGAGCAGTTAACGCGATAGTGTGCCTCATTTCAGGTTACCTGAACAAGAAAATATCTCGCTGGCCGCTATTTTTAACGGCCGCTATAATCCATTCCTTTCTGGTTTTTCCGATTCTGGCTTTCTCTAAACAAGCTTTCGCTACCCACTTCTACCTTATGTTCGTCGTTGCGGGTTTATGGGGATGCTTTGATGGTATTTACCAACCACAAATCAATGGTATATTAAAAAATTATTTGATTTTATAATGATTTAATTCCTTTATATATTAAGTAACGATTTTCCTCAACAATATATTGTTAGATGAGTAAGATAATATCATTAGAGTGAGATGATAGTGACATTATATGAGAATCGAAAGTATTTTAATTTAAGCATCGACCTTATAAATTATGGGCATAAATTATGGGCAAGGGTTTCTTGCTACATTTTTAGAGAAAAAGAAAGAAAGAGAGGTATAAAAATCCATATCCTCACTATTTTCCATCTTTCTAAAGCAGATTTTCGCAATTCTTTATAAGATATAAATATTTAATAAAAAGTTTAATATCACTCATTTGAGCAGCTAATTAAATGGTAAAATCATATATTATTTATATTATATAAATGTATTTGTTTGTATATTATGTTTAGTTATAATTACTTTAAATTTTACTTCCTCTAGGAAATAAAATTTTTTTAAAAATATTTGGTAAATTAATATTTTCAAGGCTATAATTTATAGGTAAAAGTCTTGACATTAACACTTGCTTAATTACACTTATTTACTTTTACAAATGTGTTTTTTTAGTCAATCTGCTATTTTTTCAAATTTAAATCAATTTTTGGAAGCATTTTTTATTATAATTTTCATGGAAATGTATTTCATCATGTTAGAAAATGTAAAAAAACCCTTACTCTCAACCCTTCCTATAATCTTGCTGCTATTTGTACATAAAACAAAAATATCAGGCTTATACCCTTAAAATTCTTTATTTGCTATAAACGTTCATAATATCAATATTAACATTCATATGAAAATAAGTAAACAATAATATACATAGTAAAATGTGAAATGTTTAAGATCAGTCCAAGTCATCCAATATATTCCGTGCATTCTTGATCTCTTTGTCCTCCCACCATGGCATCCCGTGATCTCCCCTTCCCACTTCCATCGCTAAGGAAAATTAATTGTTCATGTCAGAAAAATTGACTGACATTTAGTATAGTATATTAAATTTATTTCTTCTTTTTTCTAACTGCTACAACACGCCCACCCTTCAGGCCCAGCGTCCCTCTCTCTCTGGTGGCATTGTATCGAATCGTCCATTTGAATTGTATCAACTTTCGGTACGCCTTGAAAACGTTCACGGAATTTATCGAATCGCCTCCTCTTATGATGATTTATAGTATAATATCTCCAATACATTTCAATATATAATCGCTGAAAAAAATGTTAACAATAATGACATTTACATCGTGTTATCCCCATTTATAATCTATGGAACAGTAATATTGACAAAATATACAAGCAAAACATACTAATTAATTTCTTTTAATACATTTGGAAAATATGAATTATAATATACATTATTCGGGGTCTGACTAATGGGAATTAGGAAATAATGATTTTACATATAATACTGTAATGTGAACAAATCATGTGTGAAATGCAATTTCAACAACATGTAATTTTCCTTATGTCATGTAAAAAAACAAAGCAACATTTTTTTTTAAATATCTCCTAAAATAAATAGAAAAATCTATTTTTAGGTATTAAAAATAATCGCGAAAATTTGTCGAACAAAGATTTTAAATAAAATTACAAGGAATAAGTATAGACATAAACTTAATATTTTATAAGGTGGAAAAATATATAATATGCAGAAAATAAAATATTTTTCTCCTAGGAATTACTCAGTATCCTAAAAAAAGTATACCATTAACCCCATCACAATTAGCACGGATTCACAGAAATGTAGAATGCAAAGTAATAAAAATTGAGAATATAATGGGCTATATGGTATATATGTAGAGAATTTTTAATATCACATTCACAATATAAAATAATCTGAGTCTTTTTTTTTTATTTTTAAAAAAATACATGTTTTTAATATACACAGTAAAATGTGATGTGCTATAAAATTATTACAAAGATAAAAACAGTAAAATGTGATGTGCTATAAAATTATTACAAAGATAAAAAAAAATGTAATACACAAAATAAATTTTCAAAAAAAAATTAAAAAAAAAAACTTTCTCAAGTATTTAAACTAAACAATATTTCCATCTTAAGGCATACCCATCAACACATGGCTGACCATCCATAAAAATATTTTTCCTTTAATAAAAATTACAATAAACACAGTATAATACATGCAAATAAAAAATTTTATAAAATTTTATAATAAAAAAAATATATATTAAATATAATTTCATAATTTTAAAAAAAAATATTTAAGTACCATAATTTCTACCAATATATCATATAAATACATGCCAAATTTATATATATATCAACAATATCAAACTTATACCAATATATCTAAAAATCCATGCCAAATTTATATATATATTATATATATATATATCACACATTAAATCAAAAATCACTATCCACATCTACATTATAGATATTATTTTGACTTTTATCATAACTCAATTCCTTTAATTTCAATGTACTTCACAATGTTATTACATAACCTGCAGACACATTACCTCATATCTTCACCGATATCGTTCCTTTTAACCTAAATGTATCTCCTATATGCTTCATATAACATTATTTTTCATCTAAATGCATCCTATATATGTTTATCATTTATAATTAAATATATCATATGTGTAATTAAAATTACACCATATTTCCTAAAAATGGTTAATTACTTCAAAATAAACTACATAAACTCACCCACAATAGATCCCTTAATAATATATCAACTTTAATTGAAACTGGATTACATATACAATTATTAACATTAATTAATAATAAATCCTCCCACACCTGTCCATCCCTTTAAAAACCCAAATGCATAATTATATAACAAATATTTTATTACAAAAATCCTTTTCTTTATATATTTTCATAAATCCTCAATTACACTAATTTATATCTTAATCACACTTACAATCATCAATTAAATATTTTTTAACCCTATATATACATATATATATTCCTGCTCATTATAATCCCCAAAATTTAAATATTGAGCAATCTTTTCTGTCCTGCATTACGTGAGGTCTGATGATGGAAACCTATTCGCTTCAATGAGTCTTAAGGCTTACCAAATAACAAGACAATAACATATTGTCAAACATTGGATGTAAAAATATAAATCTAGACATATAATACCACAAATATTGTCTTAAATGGGACAAAATGAATCAAATATCATTAACCATTAATATATATTATACTTCATATATATATATAATAAATTAATCATTTTATTTTCATTTTCAGCCCTAATACTCATTACATACTTTCTATCCTTTTCCTTATTTGCCAAATATCGAAAACAAAATACTAAAATCCCTTAATCTCACTTCTTTCTGACACCCTGTATAGTGGTTAATAATTGCGTTATGTACCGAAACTCTTGTGTTTCTGATCGTAGGTCACGGTCAACAACTGTAAAAAAAATCTTACTCTCAACCCTTCCTATAATCTTGCTGCCATTTGATAAAACAAAAATATCAGACTTATACCTTTCAAATTCTTTATTTGCTATAAACGTTCATAATATCAATGTTAACATTCATATGAAAACAAGTAAACAATAATATACATAGTAAAATGAGAAATCTTCAAGATCAGTCCAAGTCATCCAATATATTCTGTGCATTCTTGATCTCTTTGTCCTCCCACCATGGCATCCCGTGATTTTCCCATCTTACTTCCATCCCCAAGAAAAATTAATTGTTCATGTCAGAAAAAATGACTGACATTTAGTATATTATATTAAATTTATTTCTCCTTTTTTCTAACTGCTACAACTGAAAACCTATTAGATTTTTAGAAAATTTTACCTAATTTTGAATTTCCATAGATTTTCTTAAATATAAATTATAAATGGTTCAAAAATTAAGGCCAAAATCCTCTAAAATTCATAGCGTTTTTAATTCTAATCTTCTGGAGTCCATTTCCGATAATATCCGATTTTTTCAAAATAAATTATTTAAATTTTTTCAAAATAAATTATTTAATTTGAAAAATAAAAATATCATATTGACAAAACACATTGATGCTAACATACAAATGAAATTCTTTATTTTGAAACTTTTTGTTCGGATCTGCATCGGGCCTAATTTTTCAAGCCCTGCCCGGCCCGATATTTTTTTTAAGAAAGTTTTGCCGGCCTGGCCCGAACCCGAAATTTTTAAAAAAGTTTTCCGGCCCAGCCCGAACCCGAGTATTTTTTAAAAAAATTTACTCATCCGGCCCGTCCGGAATTTATTTAAATATAGAAATTAATTTTTATAATTACTCAAAGTAAAAGACATATGTTAAATGTCGTTTAATTTCAATAAATAAAATCAAATATATTTATTTTACATAAATATTCAATATAAAATTGTTAAATTTAGATATATAAAAAAATTTCCAAGTCCTGACCCGACCCGAACCCGATTAGTTTAAATAGAATTAGAAACAAAAAAATGTTTCTTTACTTATTAATTTTAGCCAAGATGGATCATAAAAATGTTTTTTTTTGTGTTAACATTAAAACTATAAGGTTTTAAAATGAAAGAAAGAGTTAATGGGGCAAGAATAATCAAAATTCTTCATACTTTTTATATATCAGAGACCAGCATAGGCATTAAAAAATTTGGACCCGGCCTGGGCTTTAGATTTTCAAGCTCAGCCCGGTCGGGATTAAAAATATTTGGGCCCAGTCCTGATATATTAATAAAATTTGGGCCCGGCCCTGATATATTAAAAAAATTAAAATACTGCCCGGCCCTTTTACCCGCAGATCCGAATCTGCAGGTCTCTGATATATATTTTTCGTCAAGGTTGGAAAAAAAGTTACAAATAGCATTAAATTTCAGGAAGGGTTATTATATATAACGCTCCTCCAATTTTAGATAAGGAAAAACTTCTATAACAGTTCTGTTTGTTTATTTAACGTAGTAATTGCTTATTTATCAATATTTTTAAACCATAATGATTTTTTTAAAAATATAAATGTTTAAAATGGACTGCCAGATTAATTTGGTTAGCGGTTAATAAGGAATCCAATAGAAGGAAGAAATCGTATTACCTCTAATCTCTTCCGTTGTAGAATTTAGTCATTTTGTTTTCTATTTTCTTAAATCATGGCAGCCAACATGTGACTATTTTAACACAGGAAGATATCGACCATCCTTCTGAAAGAAGATGAATAGAGTACTATAGATGATGATATCATAGATGAAAAAGATTACTTAACGTTTTATTAAGAAGCATTTTCACATTGTTCTTCACTTTTATTATTAAATTTTCTTTAGTGTACAAGATACAACTGGTTAAAATATATTTTTTATATTTCCAAAAGTTAGAGTTGGAATCTACAAAGAGTTATAATAACGTCAAATGTGAAGTAATCCTATATCTCTGAGATCCATCAGAAATCAAATATACAACATAAATATCTAAATAAATAATTTATTCGTTACAGTTACAAATTTACCTTCCTTCACTCCCACATAGCTCTTATATTCGTTTGTAAAATTTAATTATTAGATGAAACTGGGCCTTAAAAATATAATAATTTTTTTAAATTTTTTTAAAATGATAATCTTTATAATAGATATCACATCAAATTTGATAATAAAATGTTAATAAACTAGTTTTCCCTACTGCTTTTAATATTCTTGACTTTACAGCGAAATGAATCTATAAAATTATTAATTCCATTTTAATAGTGTTGTTAAATAGCTCAAGATTTTTGCCAGAAAAATATTGCCAAGGCCTTGATATTTCGCTAATAGATGTTCAAACCTTTAGGTCATCTATGAGCAAAATCTTTAGGCTTACGTTATTTTCTTTTGGATAAAATATTGAGTTAGCCGTTTTTAAAAATCGGCTCAAATAGAGCCATTTAACAACACAGGATTTTAATGTATTCTTATCTCTAATTATGTGAAGACGAGCTTTTTGTAATCTTTAACACGTACTAAATAAAGGCAAAATAATCGTTAGCTTTTTTAGAAGTAAAGGGTAGTAACTTAACCTTATTTTTTTCTTTGAATAACGGTAATCGTTAATTTTTTTAAAGTATCATTTCCAATCTTGTATATATATTATATGAAGGGACACTGTTAATTAAAGGAGTCACTATTTTCATGATGAGATTAGTATACTTCTCATGTGGTCCTTTATTCTGCATACTTATATTGAAATATATAGTTATTAATGTATAATATTATTTTAAAAAATACAAATTTTAGGTTTATATAGTTCGTTATTCCAAAACAATCCTGAACCAGCTTTCGCCAATCATAGACTATGGGAATCCTTAGGGTTCATAATAAGTTTCGGTTATCACGATGCTCTATGTATCAAATTTAAACTCATTTTCATGTCCGTCATGCTCGTTTTGGCTACCATCTCTTACATCGTTTTGGAGACCAGAGTCAAAAATAGAGTGTCATAAAAGAAATTAATTATTTATCACCGAACATTTTATTTAATGATTTTAATACTATGGAAATTTAATCAATGAAACCTGCAAAATAATGATGATATAACAAAATATTTATGAAAAATTAAAAAAATTTAAGGCAGCATTCCAATTTAAATCTGTATCGTTTAATTAAGATTTCATCCAATGATTTTTTTGGCCGAAATTCATAGATATTGATTTACCAATATATATATATAAATTCAAATATCCTTTTTTTAAAATAGTGATTTTACATTGATTAATTGTGATATAATAGTTATATTATATATATATTTATATTTTTAATTATTTGTATGGGATTAATAATGAATATTTATGCTTACTGTTATAGTAACTTGTTTAAAGATGAATTTCATTATTCATTCATAATAATATTATATCTATGTATATATATCAATGGTGTACGGGGTTCTAAAATGTGAATAAGTTCGAAAAGGGAAGCAATCGCGAAAAAATATTATATTTGATAATATTAATTTCGGAATTATAATAATTGGAAACGCCCTATTTTCCCAAGAAAATAGACTTAAAAATAACATAGTATCTATCTTGAACATGAGACATCTACACAGTTCAATCCCATTCCAAACGGATTATGGTGTCTTAACAATTTTGTAATAAAATATTTTGACAATTTTCCAGGAAAAGTTTTAAAAATTTTAATGTTAATTATTTTAACTCGCGAGTCTTATTAACATCCAAGCCAAGTTATAGTCATAATAAAAAGTCGAGAATATACCTCTTTTTTTCCTGCTGATTAAATTCAAATCCCTCATTTATTTGAGAAAAGACTATCATATGCCTAATTTTATTTTAGTCAAACCAACGTATTAAAGTTTATATAATTAAATTCACTTTAAAAATTAAGTTTAAAAAAAGATATTATTACAAATCTAGGGAAATAGGATTGTTTGCAAAAAAAAATAAAATGATAATATCAAAATATGTTGAGCACGCATTTAAATTTTGAAGCCCTGATTTTGCTCAAGGTAATCCGGAATGTGCTAAATATCAATTCTATAAATTTAAGACGATTTGGCCAGGAACATCTAAGTTATTTAATAAATTTATATATTAAAATTACACGGATTTACTGTAATATTATAGATAATCGAACATTATGGTAGTACTCTTAGTAAAAAATTGAAACAGGATCGATAAATTCCAAACGGGCAAGAATTGGTGGCAATTTATTGTATAAAATCCTGTTATTTTATAATTATATGTCAATGACACCAATCTAATTTGCAATTTCCGTAATCAATAAGTGATCGTTTTACCATTCTTAATGTTAATTTTATCTATCAATTCCTATCATCTTACTGGAAGCTAAAGTTCTACCTATCCATCATCACGCATATTATAAAGAGTTAATATTTTTATTATATATGAAACATATGTAATACTTTTTTATTGGTTTACTTTTCTTTCAATATATTGGATTATCTTTTTTTTTACCCAATGATGTATATCAGCTTACATTATCTGACACAATTTTATTAATTGGTTTAATTTCCTTTCAATTTTATTGGATCCTTTAGTGTTGTTAAACGGAGATTGATTGTTTTTATGATAGGGTTATTTTTTTTAACCTTAATCAGAGATTAGTTGCATTTATAATTGGGTTATTTTTATTATACATAATTTTTTTTTTTAAATGAATATTTTTGCGAAAATACATTCCTTTAGTTAGAATCTTCATTTAAATTACTTTAATAGCTTAACGGCTGTGGGTTTATGTTAAATATAATTTTAGATGACAAAAATCTGAAATGACCAATAAAGTCAAATCGGTAATTTTTTCTCTCAAATTTTTTTTATGAACAGTTATAGGAATAATAAACAAATATGCAAAATTTTTTTAAACTTGTGACGCGCATAAGTATGAAAGATATGGGATTTTAATTATTGGTGAATTGGAATTTTATTTATTATTTAAAAAATTTTTATTTTTTGAAAAATGTTTTTGAAAGGAAGGAAAGGCTTTGGCTATTTCATTTGATAAATTAAAATATCTCTACTACTTATAATAACTGCAAAATACAAATAACTGGAAAATATATGCAATGTATGAAAGAAACTAAGTGTAGCAGAATGGCACACGATTCCGAGCAGTTGAATGAGAAATGACAATGAGATACTTATAATTAAATATTGCATGTGAGAATGCATATATGGCAAGACCTAATTATATGGTCTTAAATAAAATTTCACACACAAAACTAAATTTAAGAATCAAATATCCTTTATAAATTGCGATATGTTAATAAAGAACAATGTAAAAACTTATCTAACCCAATAATATTGATTATAATAAATAAAACAATTGTTCTACAATCGTAAAATTGTGATCTGTCAGATAATATATTGCTGATGTCTAGACTGAGCATATAGGATCAGGATTCAAAAATTTAAAAGGCGGATGTAAATGTTATAAGTTAAAGGAATAAATATTTTATCACTTTTGGTAGGGGAAATGTGCCATAAATGGCCATGTGTGAAGATTGGCCACCACCCTTTAACTTTTTATCTAGAGGACCAATTTCTCTCAAAATGTGTATATTTATGATATGTACCTTACCTAAGTTCATTTATTGAATAGAGCAATTCAATAAAAAATTATTTCAAATAAGCTATTTTTAGTAGCTCTTTCTGGAAAAATCACCGTACACATTTTTTTTGGTGAAAAAATTACCAATTTAGATTACTGATATTTTATATAAATATTATCCATAGGCATTTAGCATTATTCACACAAAAAATTAGACTTTAAAAGATTTATTTAATAGACATATAAGGCGCTTAAGAGAGGTGAGTATTGACTGGCCATGTATTGATTGGCCACAATTCGTTCATTTACATATTATTAAAATGAAAAGCACTTGCAAAACAACATTTGGTGAAATAAAATGATGAACAAACTTAAGAATGTTTAGTAAAATGATAATTAAGATATTAATTTATAATAATATCATTAAATAGATGTGGTAATAAATTGAGATTTTAATATAATTTAAATTATAATTTTTTATAAAACTAAAAAATATAGAAACATCAATATAGGTTTTTTACAAGTATTTCATACTGTATTTTTTTATATTTATACTAACATTCTTAAATAATATATTATGGCCAGTTAACACATAGTATATGGCCAGTCAATACATAGTATGTATTGACTGGCCAGAAAAACAACTTTCACATAATCTCATTTAGCTCATAAAGTATTTTACATAGAGCTTTAATTCAAATTTTATTTTAAAGATTAATATTTAGGCTACACATGATGTTTGGTTAAACATAAACTTTAATACCTTTTTTTCAAAAAAACAAAAACATGGCCATTCATGGCACATTTACCCTTTAATAAAGAGGTTAAATAATTTAACTAAAATTAATTTATACCTATCTGAAATATCATATATTTCTCACAGGCACCTTTCAATTTCATATATCTCATTTTCTTTTCATCAAACCTATATTCTTCCAGATATAAACAAGAAAACTCTGAATTGTATGCGATTATGACAAACTTAGTTATTTAATTTTCTATTTCATCTACTTGGTTCTTCAAGAAGGATGATAATTGTGAATCAGAATTTTCTTCTTTATTAGATGATGGTCATTACGTACCAATTATTTGTTTATATTGAAGGCACTCATATACTCTTAAAATATTTTAAAAATGATGGGAAATTAAGGAATCATGTCACATCAAAATATGGATATATTTCTGATTCCTCTTATCAAAAAAATATCCTAATCGCTCATCATTATTGAGAGATTAGCTGCAGGAGAAACAGAATCTAATCATTTTTGACGGGTTAGCTGCTAGTAGTTTTATAATTATATAACAACTGCAAGACAACTATAATTTTGTAATTATATAGCAATTATAAATGAGTGTAATCCAATGGAGGGGGGATCTCAAGGGGAGGGGGATTTCCCCCTTCAGAAATTATTCTTGTAATTATAATCTTAAGCAAATAAAAAAAATTCCCACATACCCACCCCCTCATCCTCCCTACCTCCCAAAATAAATAAAATATATAACTATAAACATAATTTAAAAGAAAAATGTAAAAGTTTAATAATTTTTAAAAATAACGACTTTTAATTCAAAATTTTTAGAAAAAATTTTTTTTTTTAAGGAAACAAAATTATCTTTTATAAATATATAAAATAGCCAAAGATCCTACAACTATATATACAGTGTTGTGATGATTTAATGAAACATGTTGAAGATTTAAATTAGAACCCATCTATATAAAAATATTTTGTCTGCAGAAATAATTAAAATGACACAAGGAGGAATAAAAGAATTTTCAATTTTAATTATTTTTTGCAAACAAAATATTTTTATATGGATGGGTTTTAATTTAATAGTCAATATGTTTTTTATTAAATTATCACAACACTGTATATATTTATTATTTTTTAATTAGCCCTTAATAATGTATTTTTTTAAAAAAAAAAATAAAATAGCCAAAGACATATGTTGACATAAAGACCTCCAATAAGCCTCAGTCGGAGATGAATGTCAACCTCCAGCCTCACATAAACAAAAGGATTGGGGTAATCAGATGATTGCAAGGTCCGTTGATTACCTCTTTTTGACCCTGCTATATGAAGGTCATGCCTTATTAGATTTTCTCAATCAAGGTTCTGGATATGAATACTTAAACACCATTCCCTTTAACACTCCTGACCTAGAGCTGTCAAACCAAGAATTCAGCTTCATTAGCTTATCAGTCTCATATAAGTGCACATGGTGCACAATAAGTCAAACTAGTCGTCATTGCCTCTAATGCATCTTTAGCAGTGGAAGCTCAATCCGACATCTCATAAAACGGGTGTTAAAGTCCATAGGCTTTCCTGCCACTTTAGAACCCCTAGGTCTCTATACTGATAGTTAACTACCCGATGGAATTACACAAATTCCTTGGGAGAATGTTCAATTTCTAAAGTACTTCAATAAGTACATTTTATAATACACAGAAGATTTTAAAACGAACAAATATGTGGATATTCCTGATAAAATTGGAACCAAACCTTAACATCATATAGAAGCCAGGCTCATAACCTAATTAAAAAGATTAGCAGAGCCTTAAGAGCTAATTAAGGAGACCCAAAAGAATGGGTCTACTTACGTCACCGCATAGGAATTGAGATTATAATATCTAATTTCACATGTACCATGGGTTCATTCCTCGAGGAGCCCGATTAATCTAGATCTTCTTCTTCTTCCTCTTCCCTTAATTTTTAATTTTTTT